AAGCTTCTGGCCCTAAAAAACACATAGCTGTAGTTGAAACAAAAATATTGTACATCGTATGCTAGAAACAATATCATGAATATTGTGCAAAGCAAAGGCTACTGTTTGTACCACCGAAGCCAAAGCTGTTTGTCAAAGCAACATCAATCTGTCGTGACTGGGGATCTTTTGGCGCATAGTTGCAATCAAACCCATCAGCCAAGCGGTCTAGGTTGATAGTAGGTGGCATGGTATTCTGTTCCTTATTAGTACGAACTCTAGCACAGTATGTCCAGTGCACAACTGCAACTCACCTCATGGACTGCAAGTACACTGATCAGAGCTTCTATAGCACCAGCACCACCAAGTAGATGACCGAGGGCACCCTTTGTGCTGCTAACGTTCACATCAGCAGCCTTATCTTTGCCATCAGGGCCAAGTAGAAGTGCTTTTATAGCAGAGTTCTCAGCAGCGTCGCCAACAATGGTCGAAGTTGCATGTGCATTGACATAGTCAACTGCAGCAGGGCGTAACTGAGCCTGCTTAAGCGCCTTTTTCATAGCCATAAACGCGCCTTCACCATTTTCCTTAGGCGAGGTCATATGGTGTGCATCGCTGGAGCAGCCATATCCTTTGAGTTCTGCATAAATCCGCGCCCCTCTCGCGAGGGCATGTTCTAGCTCCTATATTTGAGACATCAGTATCAGGTGGTAGTATACGCACAAGAGGCAGGACACATACCTCTAGAATCATCACAGCTGCGCCTTCTCCAACCACAAAGCCTGCACGGTCGGCATCGAACGGGCGTGACGCTTTCTCTGGAGTGTCGTTGAATCCTGTCGATAGACTTCTTGCACGCGCAAAGCCGCCAATGGCCAAAGGATGGATACATGACTCGGCGCCACCAGCGACCATCACATCGGCATCACCACAGGCAATGAACCGAGCTGCATCGCCAATGGAATGGGCACCAGTCGTGCAAGCCGTTGTTGCGGAATGGCTCGGGCCCATGAATCCGTACTTCATGGAAATATGGCCAGCGCCAAGGTTGATCAGCAGCTTTGGCACGAACAGCGGATTGACCTTCTTGTAGCCCTGTGCAACACGTTAGTTATACACTTCCCTAGTCCATGTACGATGGAAGGACCTTACCCCCTTGTCGTAGGCAATAACTGTGTTGTAGATTTCATCAAAGTTGCCAATGCCTGATCCGAGGCAGACTCCCTATCGAAATTATTAGTATAACCGTCAAATTGGCACATATTCTCACACATACCGTCGCCTCCCTCTGCTCAAAAGACTCGGGCTTCCATTCTGCATCTTGAAGCGCCTCTTCTGTCGCCGCCATGGCATACTGCGCAAACTTGGCCATCTTCCGCTCATCCTATCCACCCCGAATTATCAGCATTGCAAATAAAACACAAATCAAAGAGTGGGGTTAGTTGTAAAAAGACATACAACTCGATCCAACCATTCTGAGGCAGTCCACCCCCCATTCTTGCGACTACCCTCTGGCACAACAGCAGCCACCTGACAGGGCTGCTCAGCATAGCGCTCATCGCGATCTTTCACGTTAACAACGCCACAATGACCATCTAGCAAGCGTTTCCATGTACGCCGAATGCCTGCAGCCAAGCACAGCGTTAGCCACAGTAGCATTCACAGATTCCAAACAACAAAGTACAATCAAACACGTAAAGTGAAACCCAGTATACAGCGGGTACTGTCTCTTATCGCGAAGTGTCCCGCACTGGTCTGTACGCCCTCCGTCATTGGCTGTCACAACCTTCCCCTTCCGGAGTGAGAAGTGGGGAATGTAGAGAGAGCTGGGGATATCGGATATCACGCATGGACTCCCGGACAATCAGATATGGGTAGAGCGCACTCGCAGGGATTTGCTTGGCTGACAGATGGTGTGGAATTGCGTAATTGCATGTATGATACCCGATAACATGCCTGGATGAGCTCCGAGAACGACCTTGGAGCTATCAATGCCAACAGAACAACAAGAACAACCCAAAAAAAAAAGAAAGAAAGCAACTCACCTACACCTAGCGGTGTCACCGCTCCAAGACCGGTTACAACAACTCGCCGCATTGCATAACTTTAGATCAAAACTGAGGAGTTGTCAAAAGAAAGAAAACCGAAAAGCGGGCCAAAGCCAAGAAGGGAAAGTCTGCACGATCGGGACCCTATCTGTTCGGCTTTCCCTTTACAACACTGCTGCTTCAGGAAACTTGACGAGACAAGAGACATGTAGAAAAAAAATAAATATCTTCATTTCTAACTTTTCCTTTTTACTTCATCCAAAATAACTTCGGCCATGTCTGCTTGGAAAACCTTCCTTACACTGGCTTTGGCCGGCTCCGCAGCCGCCTGCGCTCACCACGATAACGGCGAGGTAGTCCCTGAACATGAGCGGGCGGAATTACTCAAGAAGTGGGATCAGGAGGTATGATAATAATGCAATAATTCAATACTGCAATACTGCAATATCCAAGAAATGAGATTTGAACAATTCCTAACATATAACTATCTAGTGGTCCTTCTCCGGCATTGCCAGCTTTGCCCACCTGAAGCCAGTCAAGTGTCTTATCGAGCCCGATGAGCACTACGACATTGCCATTATTGGCGCGCCGTTCGATACAGCCGTCAGCTACCGACCAGGTACGGCAGCAAGCCTTTCCAAATCCCCATCACCCACCAATAAATCTAGCATCCAAACCATACAATGAAACGCAGTACTAACAAACTCCCCCACAGGAGCCCGCTTCGGACCCCGCGCAATCCGCGCCGCCAGCGCGCGCCAGATGGCCGCAACAAGCTACAACACGCGCGCCGGAGTCAACCCATACCAATCATGGGCTAAGATCACGGACTGCGGCGACATCCCCATCACCCCCTTCGACAACGGGCTGGCCGAACGCCAGATGTACGAAGCCTTCCTTGAGCTTGGATCACGCAGCATCGTGAACAAAGCACCCAAGGCGAACGGGATCGGTGCGCAGCATCCAAAGCTTGTAACGCTTGGTGGCGACCACAGCGTTGCGCTGCCTGCTCTGCGCGCTCTGCACCAGATCTACCAGAAGCCCATCACAGTCGTGCACTTCGATGCGCACCTCGACACCTGGAACCCCGTGCGATACAGCGCGTACTGGCAATCCGAGCAGACGCAGTTTAACCACGGGTCGTTTTTCCACAAGGCTAGTCGGGAGGGACTTATTTGTAATTCTACTTCTGCGCATGCTGGACTCCGGACTCGTCTTACTGGGGTTGATGCGGGAGATTATACGAATCCGGGTCCTGAGCAGGGATTTATTCGGATTCATGCTGATGATATTGATGAGCTTGGACCTATGGGAGTTGTTGAGACTATTATTGCTCGTACAGGGATTGATCCTGAGCAGCCTGTTTATCTTTCTGTTGATATTGATGTTTTGGATCCGTCTACGGCACCGGGAACGGGCACGCCTGAGCCTGGTGGTTGGACTACCCGTGAGTTTATTCGGATTCTACGTGGACTTGAGAAGTTGAATATTGTGGGCGCGGATATTGTGGAGGTTTCGCCGGCTTATGATAATAAGGGGGAGACTACTGCTCTTGCGGCGGCGCAGGTTGCTTTTGAGATTATCACTAGTCTTGTTAAGTCTGGTGTTGATGAGGAGCTTGGTGGGTGGTACGGGTGGATGGAGAAGGAGGGAGCCCAGGAGAAGGAGGGCAAGGATGAGCTTTGAGTTTTTGGATAAGTCTACGAGATGCATGTGGAATGAAGTGAAGAATGAATGACATATAATTGCTTGAATATGATGTCTTGCTGTCTGTAAACTGGGGTGATGTCATGACACAGTAGAAGCCCAGGTGAGCTCAGCCTATGATATCAGAGACTTGGACCTCGAGAGGTAACCCTGGAAATACAATATCAAAATACTACAAGCTTAGTAACAAAGACACACTCAACCCCAAAATAACTTGATAGAACTGATTGAATTGGAATTATCTGCGACTTTCTAAGACCCAGAAATAACGTTGCTCTTCAGTGAGGCGTAACTCGAAAGACTGCAATAGATCGCAGAAAGGACATGAACGGAGATGCTTGTATCAAGGGCGCGCGCATAGAGAGTAATGGCGATAGTAGATCAGATTGGAACAGGCGAAATCACATATTGGCGGGGGAAAAAAACGAAGAGAAGCCGGATCTGCAAGAGAAGGGTACAGCAAGCCCAATATCATAGTCCGGATTGTTCGCAAAGCTGGGGGTACATAAATAGCACGTGAAAAAGGAAAAAAAAAAAAAAAAAAAAGACAGGGCATAGGGGATGTGGGGGGATCACAGTGACGGAAACCGTCCACCAGCCAAAAGCCAAAACACGACGCCCTGACGTCCAACGCCGAGAGAGACGGTCAAGAGGTGAAAGAGCCGGGTGCGGAGAAGGTAATAGGTAGGATGCGGGGAGTGTATTCGACGCGACAAAAAGGGGAGAAGAAGGTCAAAATTGCTGTCGCTGTAGTTCGTGAAGGAGAGGAATGAGGGTGGAGGATCGGGGAAATTGAAAGGTGAGAAGGAGACGAGTACCAATAGTAACTCGAGGCCAGGTCGTTGAAGACGGCAGATAGACGCAGCCAGGCGAAGCAAGAAAAGAAGAAGCAGAACCAAAAAAGAAAAGGGACACAGCAAACTAGAGAGGCTAGGACTCGAACCGGGATATGCGAACAGAAACAAAATAAGAGAAAAAAGGGGATCAAGGAAAAGCACAGAAGCCATTTTCAACTGGAAAACGTAGATATGGAACGCTTCAGATAGCATCGCTAGCCATAATACAAGACCACACTCCCCCCCTTTTTTTTGTCGCTGAATTTGGATATCCCAGAAAACAAAGTCCAGCCAGAAATATTTGCCGCCCAATAGAACGTGAGAGAGTAGAAAAAAGAGAAATAAACAGGTTCATTCCATCGTAGCTTCGAGGCGCACGTCAACTAGGCATCAACCCAAGTGCAACATATCAGTCACACTCGGACCAACCTGTTGCGATAAGTCCGTGAAGGATAAGTTCACAGCAAGCGGCAGCCCCTTGACTTCTTCTTGGGCGCGGGTTCGAGTGCCGCGACAATAGCCTAAAAAGTACAAAGGATAACGTGTCAGTGGCGGTGTGGAAATATCGGGCAGCAAAAAAAAAGGAAGATTCGGTGTACCTCATCAAAGACGTCCTTGAGCTTATACTGTGTCAGGGCAGAACACTCGACGTATTTAACAGCGCCAAGCTCCTTAGCCATCCGGTCACCGTCTTCCTTGCGGATGGGAGACATCTTTTGACGGGCGAGCTTATCCCGGACTCCGGCATCGTCGCGCAAATCGGTCTGGGTACCAACGATCAGGCAGGGAACACCGGGGCAGTGGTGGTGGACTTCGGGGAACCACTTTTCGCGGACGTTCTCGAATGAGGCAGGTGAAGTGACGGAGAAGCAGACCAAGAACACGTCAGTCTGTGGGTAAGAGAGCGGGCGCAGGCGGTCGTAATCCTCTTGACCGGCGGTATCGAACAGTCCCAGGGTGTAAGGCTCATCGCCGATCCTGAATTTGGAGATCGATCGGTCAGAAGTGTTTCTTTGAGGCTGGACTGACGTATAATTTTTTTTTTCCTCGGGGAGGGGTGTTTTTCGGGTGATGACTTACATCACGGTCACAGCGTAGTTGTCAAAGACAGTGGGGACATATTCCGAAGGGAACTTGTTCGTTGTGTATGAGATGAGTAGACAGGTCTTTCCTACTGCACCGTCCCCCACCACGACACATCTGGGTTGGGGTTAGCCATGACATCTGGAGGGGGGGTTTTCGCCTTGGCAAGGAGGGATGAAGCGAAATAGGATAGCGTACTTGATGGTAGCAACGACCATTTTGAATTAATGAGAAGTATCGATGTAAGAGTGATAGAGAAGAAGAGTGTGGGAGACAAAAAGGGAGGAAGAAGCTGTGGTCTGGATTGAATGGGGCAACCCGCAGAAGTATGGAGTCTAGACACGGTGCTAGTTTCGATACACGGTCTGTACAGCTCTTCGCTTGATTAACAGGTCTCTATGGTATTTATTGGGAAGATTTTCGACATAAAATAAATAGATCTTTTTATAACATTTGTATAATTATTTATGATAATAATCTTGGATTTAATATGATCTCTCTTGTGTCATTCATTTACTGCCAAGAAAAACGGTATCATTATCTCTCATCTCCTCATCTCCCTCAACTCCTATAAAAAAAAAATACTAGGAATACCAATACTCTATAAATACTCCATAAATAATCAACGGCCAACCGCTGTTGGTTAAGCGCTGTGATCTCTAGAATCTGATGTCTCTATAGGACGATCACATTTTAAAACCCAACCCAATGTCTACCAACTCTACATACGTACATACGTACTAAACACCTATTACCCCAATAATACCAAGTATAGGTCTCATGAGATAAGCGTCTCAAATGCCGTCGAGGGACAAAAGGAGTTCCCCCCGGAGTATTTACCCCCTTTTCTCTTCGAGTCAACTCATTTCCTTCACCCTTTTCCCTATTTCCTTTTCCCTTTTCCCTTTTCCCGTGACGCAGAAAAGAAAAAGAAAAAGCAAGCTAATAAAAAAAGAAGTCCCCAATTTCAATCCTGTTTCACCATTCACGGGTTCCCGATCTCCCATCCCTAAATCTCCCCTTTTGCAAACCGCCGTTTTATGTATGAGATCTAAGACCTAGATGGATGCAGGAAAAATACAATCCATAGTACTCCGTACACTCCATACACTCCAAATCCAATCCAGAACACTTTAATCCTTACCTACTCCGTTATTCGTAAGTGGCTTGTTCCCGTCACAGCTTGGCAGTCACATCCAGATCCAGTCTCTCCACAACTTTCGCCTTCACTGTGTGGCTGAGGTCATTGCCCAGGTAGGTGACTCACATTACTAACCAAGTATACATAGTGCTGGTGGTTGATAGCCGACAGCTGACGGGCTGACTTAATATCCGGATATTGCAGTCTGCGCATCCTCCATACGGAGTAGCCCCAAAGAGTATACATTTACAGTAAGCACATGCACATGTCAGGGGGGCCAAGCAGGATCAATTCGTATCTCATGTATACTCAAGCCCTTCCGTTGCGGTATCTGGTATGCATGCATGCATATATGCAGGTACATGCACGGGTAATATACGTGATATACGAGCTGAATAAGGATTGGGCTTGGGCTAGGGGGAGAAGAGGATGGTAGTATGGAGTGAAAAGAAAAGAAAAGAAAAGACCAAATTCAATATTTACAAATCTAGCTAGGTTTTTGAGATTTCAAATAGAGTCAAATCCAAATCCTTCCCGCATTGACGGGTAGGCAGTGGATATAAGGCCGTGATGCGTGAAGTTTGAACTGGACTAGACTGGGATATGAACTGGTATAAGCAATGCAAAGTACGTTGTCTAGTGTGCAAAATAGGGGCAATCAACTCTATTCCTGACCGTTGCAGGGAAATGAAACTCACTAGGCGGTAACTGCGGGAAAGAAACATGTTACAACTCGAGGGTCCTAGGCGGCAAGCCGGCCGGATCGGAATAATCGCTTCGTGGTGGAAGTTTGCTGGCGGGTGGATCGAAACTGCCCGAGTTCTTTGGAGGGGTATGGGTTTCTTACCTGAGTACAAAGTACTACGATGTGCAGTGCAGTGTAGTACCGCTTGGGTATTCAAATTCTCGGTATTGATACCTATCTAGGTCTATTGAACTGTCGCAGCCTTGAAAAGATAGATACATCCAACCCCATGAATACATAAACAGTAACGCCGAACGCAGATGATGAACTGGCTCGTCAACCAGTCCGGATGAACGGGATATATCGAGGATGTGTTGTACCTCGCTCAAACAACCGAAAACGCCGCTTGCTGGTTTGTGTCGAGATGCAATAGAAATAAAAAATAAAAATAAAAAAATAAGCGATGCAAAAGCAAGACAGAAAAAGTTCAGTTCGTAAGATCATAATTGTCGTGCGCGGTGAATGCACACAGGTATGCTGGGGTTTATGTTCGTTTGGAGTGTCCGTCATCCGAGTTGCGCCCTGCCTCTGCCTCAACTGGAACCGGGTTGCTCTGATGTTTGGGACTACCGTAGCCCATCTAGAATCGAGTCAGAAGAGATCACCGGAAAGCATTATTAGCGACTTACCTTGTCAAGTTTGTAGTTGACCATAAGAAGACTCAACGGAATGAGAGGGAGGGTAGCAATGACAGCCAGCGTCAGCAGCCGGTTCATGGTCTCTTGGTACGCACGGTTGATAGCAATGCGAGTTGCAGATCCCATTGGGTACGACAGAGCTGTGGTCAGCTTGCCGAAGATTTCAGCAGCTTGGCCCTTGCTTTCCTCGGGGAGGTATTGCAGAAGCTTGTGTGGGACGGCAGAGGACCAAACAGCCCCTGAGATAGCGGCACCGACTGCACCGCCCATTTCCATGGAGGTCAGGAACATTGCAGTGGCTGCTGCAACTTCCTGGTGGCTAGCAGATGCTTGAACGCCCAGTTGGACAGGCACATTAATCAGACCGCCACCGATGCCGACTATGATCTGTGTGCTGAGGACTTGGAAGTGCGAGGCTCCTTCTCCTCGGCACAGGAGCATCAGGGCTAGGCCGGTCATGTACACAACACATCCGATCGTAATAAAGATGCGATATCGTCGGGTATACTTGATAAGAAGTGATACGCTGAATGCGGCAATGGTTGAGGTGAAAGAAAATGTCTGGGTTATACGCCCCGCAGTGGCAACGTCGTACCCCTGTACCACCTGCAGGTAGGAATAAAGGTAAGGCTGAACCGAAAAATAGAAGGCCACTAGGTTAAGTTAGCAACGACACCTTGGATGTCGAGAGAATTATCGACTTACTAAAATACCAGAACGCCAATGCACATCCCGCAAGAGCAGTTCTCTGCTTGAGGAGGTGTAGAGAGAGCAGGGGCTTGGGGGCCAATTTTCGTGAAGACTCCCAGAGCGGTAGCAGACACAGGCAAACAACACCAAGTGCGATCATGACCAAAATACTGACATTCTTCCATCCATTCTTTGCAGTAGCTGCAAGAGTCAAAGGCACCAAAATTAATGTGACGGCAGCAGACAAAAGGGCTAGTCCGCCCACGTCCAAGTCGTACCAAGTCCGACGCACGACGCTAACAAAGTCCGTCTGTCTTCTAGTCCGCTTTTTGATCAAATTCAGCCTTTGGGCCTTACGTTGGTTGAAGAGCAGCGTGAGGGCGAGTGGCAGGAAGGATGCAGGTAAGATAATAGCCCACATTCCATAACCCCATCGCCATGAGCTAGTGCGCAGCACCGCGCCCGCAATAGTCGGCCCGAGCCAGACGGTAACCAAGAATGGGAATTCGGGCAGAAGGGTGAGGAAGGCGCGGTTCAGCAAGTCACTGCTGTCGGCAATGAAGACTTGTTGGAGGATCTGTAAGCCGGTCGAGCCGGCAGAGTAGAAGATTTGGGCAGAGGCGTAGGTCTGGACGTTGGTGGAGCCGGCCATTTGGATATATCCCAGAATGTATATAAGGATGCTCAAACAGAAAGCCTCGAAGCGACCGAATACGTCGGCGATCTTAGCCATAGGGGGTTTGATGACAGCTAGACATCGTCAAAAAATTAGCAGCCACTCACTTTTTTGAACCCGGGTAGCAAACTCTCACCATTGACCACATTTTGGATAACGAGGACGGTCGAGATTAACGCGTGTCTACTGAATGCACTTGTCGCATATGCAGACAGTGACATCACGGTCTGGCCTTCCAGCGATGTACAGAATGCCATGAGGAATATACTTCACGCTAAGTCAGCAGGGGTTCAGCAAAAGCACGGGACTGCAAGCCACACGAACCTGACGTAGGCTACCATTAAAGACTTAGTTGTCCAAGTCAAATTGATGGCCTCAATCTTTTGAACTCCCTCCTGCATTTCATCCGGTGTAGATAGTCCACTAGACTGGCCTTCGATCTCGTGGTCATCCTGCAACAGTTGATCCCTTTCATCCTCCATTCCGGCGTTTTCGTGTTCGATAGTGCCGTAGGACGGTCCTGAGCGTGGATCGAGAAGTGGCATCTCGTGACCGACGCACGGTTACCACAAAGATCGTGTACGGTTTCAACGGAAGTATTCTCTAATGGACAGCGTCCATATAAGAATAAGAATAACCGGTAAGAGAGTTCAGTCTGAGATTGGTAGAAACCATATACAAAAGACGGTTATCTTAAAAGCGGCGATTAAGCGGGAAATAGGTCATAAAAAAAAAAAAAAAAAAAAAAAGAGTTCATGCGGCATCAGATGTAAGTAGCGGCAGGCGTATCATATAAAAGGGATGAAAGCCTGCTCTAATAAGTAAGTACTTTCGGCGCTCTTTAGGTAGCCCGAGCCAGTCAGGTCCACCGGGAAAAAGAAACGACAACACGAGATGTCAACAGCGAATCGGAGACCGGATTTGGCCAGGACAAGATGGAAATAAATATGGGGCGCGATATGTAAAAGAAGTCGTGGAAGCGCGCTTGCCTCGGGAGTCAACCCATGAAGGGCTATTGTAAGTAAGAAGGATCCTGTAGGCAGATATGGGGCAGATTGGCGGATGGGTAGATCCGCCGTGCTTCGGAGGAAGGCGCCCAAATGTAAGGGGAAAGCAGGCCGTGAAGATTTTTGGTCTGCGAGTCTTGGTTTTGCTGCGCAAAATGACACCAAGCCCGATCGTCGGTCGCACTTATGCACGTTGATGGGGTCTGTAGTGGTAGAGAGGTGAGGTGAGAGGCTGAGGTCCGATCTCAGCTCATCTCTTGCATTCCAGGATGATGCACCAAGACAGTTTAAGAAACAGTGTCACAGTCGTAACCCAGTCATCATTCTGGGATATTGGAAATTCCCAGGTGCTTCCCAGTATATTCTCCCCCAAAG